AGGAAAAATGCTTCATGACATTGGTCTGGGAGATTTTATGAATAAGACCTCAAAAGCATAGGATAAAAAGCAAAAATAAGCAAACAGAATTATATCAAACTAAAAAGCTTCTGCACAGCAAAGGAAACAATCAACAGAGTGAAAAGACAACCTACAGAATGAGAGAAAAGATGTGCACATTACTCATCTGACAGGAAATTAATATGCAGAATATACAAGGAACTGAAATATCGCAACAGCAAAATAACAAATAATCTGATTTTAAAATGGGCAAATAATAGAAATAGACACTTCTCAGAAGAAGATATATAAATGGTCAAATCCAACAAATAAATGAAAAATGCTCAATATCACCAATCATCAAGGAAATGCAAATCAAAACCACAGTGAGGTATTATCTCACCCCAATTAGGATGACAATTTCAAAAAGACAAAAAACAACAAATGCTGGTGAGGATGCAGATGGGGAATTTTTCTTTCTTTCCTTTTTTTTTTTTTTTTCCCAGAGATGGAGTCTCACTGTGTTGCCCAGGATGGTCTCGAATTCCTGGGCTCAAGTGATCCTCCTGCCTCAACCTCCTGAAGTGCTGGGATTATAGGGATGAGTCACCACACCTGGCCAAGAAAAGGGCACTTGTATATACTGTTGGTGAGAATGCAACCTGTACAGCCACTATGGAGAACAGTATGAAGCTCCCTTTTAAAATGACAAATAGGACCGGGAATGGTCACTCACGCCTGTAATCCCAGCACTTTGGGAGGCTGAGGTGGGTGGATAACCTGAGGTCAGGAGTTCGAGACCAGCCTGGCCAACATGGTGAAGCCCCGTTTCTACTAAAAATACAAAAATTAGCTGGGCATGGTGGTGTGTGCCTGTAATCCTAGCTACTTGAGAGGCTGAGACAGGAGAATCGCTTGAATCCAGGAGGCAGAGGTTGCAGGGAGCTGAGATGGCGCCATTGCACTCCAGCCTGGGTGACAAGAGGGAAATTCCATCTCAAAAAAAGATAAATAGAACTACTGTATGATCCAGCAATCCTACTACTGGGAAGTTATCCAAGGAAAAGAAAATCTTCACATAGAAGAGACATTGGCCTCCACCTATTTATTGCAGCACTATTCACAATAGCCAAGATATGGAATCAACCTAGGTGTCCAGTAAAATAAACATATAAAGAAAATGTGGTTTATATACCTCATGAAATATTAGGTTCTGGAGGACATACAGGTTAACCCAATAGGCAAATCTCTGCCCTTGTGGAATTTATATTTTAGTGGAAAATAAAATAAAAGACAGGAAATAAATAACAATAATAAATAGCTAAATGATGTGTCAGGTAACAAGGTATATATAGCTCTATAGAACTGTCAACTTGAAATAACCAAAAGAATCAGAATTCAGTTTGAATGAGTTTATTCCAGCAAAAAAAACTGGGAATAGCCATCCTGGAAATACAGACTGCAGAAAAATGAAGTCAGTGCTCCAAAATTAAAAGAAATTTAACAGGATCAAACCTGTTCCTATAAACTTTATAAAATTAATCAGTGAAAAAGGGAGAGGGAGAAGATGAAAACAAACCAAGCTTGCAGCACATTCAGCATTAATTATTAGGTCAGCTTGTTCTCTGACCTGTTTCCTCATAGTTGTTTACTGCCCACTGCACCGGAATCACACAAACTCTGTCACAAGATTATACTTCCCCTTAACTGTTCTAGAGATAGCAACTTAAGCATTGTGAAATATTGTTTTCCATTTGAGATATTCTTTCAGATCCTGCATACCGAAACTACTGATGCCAGCTGGTCTGTAGGATTCTATGAGAAGCTGACTCACCAACGAATGAAGTTTCCACATCCTGATGATTTCATCCCCTTACCACAATGAATCAACAGCCGCAATTTTCCAGCCCCTTGCCCTCCACAATCTCCTTAAAAATCCCAGTCCAGAACTCCCCAGAGGATATGGATTTGAGGATTCCTCTTGCCTTTCTACTTGGCTGCCCTGCAATCATTAAACTCTTTCTCTGCTGCAAACCATGCTGTCTCCGTGTATTGGTCTATTACTATGCAGCAGGCATATGAACTTGATGTTCCTGTAACGAGATTGTAATATTTTCTTTGTTGAAATTTATTACTGGGCATGGTGGCTCACCCCTGTAATCCCAGCACTTTGGGAGGCAGTGGTGGGTGGATCACCTGAGGTCAAGGGTCTGAGACCAGCCTGGCTAACACGATGACACCCCATCTCCAGTAAAAATACAAAAAAAATTAACCAGGCATAGTGGTGGGTGCCTCTAATCCCAGCTACTTGGGAGGCTGAGGCAGGAGAATCACTTGAACCTGGGAGGCAGAGGCTGCAGTGGGTGAGATTGTGCCATTGCACTCCAGCCTGGGCAGCAAAAGTGAAACTCTGTCTCAAAAAGAAAAAAGAAAAGACAAGAGAAAGGGACAGAGAGAGAGAGAGAGAGAGAGAGAGAGAGAGAGAAGAAAGAGAAAGAAAGATTATTTTTATTTATTTATTTTTTTTTAAAACAGGATCTCACTCTGTCACCCAGTCTGGAGTTCAGTGGCATAATCAGGTTCACTGCAGCCTTGACCTCCCAGGCTCAAGTGATCCTCCTACCTCAGCTACCCAAAGTGGGACTACAGTTGTATGACACCACACCTGGCTAATTTTTGTATTTTTTGCAGTTATGGGGTTTCATCATGTTGCCCAGGCTGGTCTAGAACTCCTGGACTCAAGTGACCTGACTGCCTCAGCCTCCCAAAGTGCTGGGATTACAGATGTGAGCCAGGACTGTGCCCAGCCAGGGTTATAAGCTTTTTCCCTCCCCTCCCCTCCCTTTCCCTCGCCTTCCCTCCCCTTTCCTTCCCTTCCTCCTCTTCCAGACAGAGTCTCACTCTGTTGCCCAGATCTGAGTGCAGTGGCATGATCATAGCCCATTTCAGCCTTGAACTCCTGAGGTGGGAGAGCTCAAGCAATTCTCCCAGTTAAGCCTCCTGAGTAGCTGGTACCACAGGCACATGCCACATCTGGTTAATTTTGAATTTTTTTTGTAGAGACAGGAGTCTTACTGTTAGATATGAGTCCTAAATTTCTTTTCAAAGAATCAATGTGTCAGTATGTTCAATTCTTTGCCTTCTACTTTTAAACTTAACTTCCTCATAAAGCAAACATTTTCGATTACCTGCTCCACCCTGACTCATTCTGATTACCTGCTCTGTCATAACCATTTTCCCCACCAAACCAATCACCCCATCACTCTCTTTAAATTACCCAGTTGGAATTAGTTTAGCCTGTGTGGTCTAACTCTAGCCAACTGGGGAAGGGCATAGCAGCAGGGGCCACCTGCATCAGGGATAAGAATTCCTTCCCCTCCCTTGTTCAAGTGTGCACTCACCATTGCTCCAACTGTGAGGGCGCACCCTTCTGTGGAAGTACCTTGCCTTCCTGAGAATCAAAAAGAAAATTTTATATTCAAGTGCTATTTCTTTTGTCGCACCAAAACTTTACATATAACAATTTGGGGGCTCGCCTGTGATTACGTTCCCCTCCAGGGATGGACTCTGGTTCTCTCTCATAAGGAGGAGCACCCCACCCACTTGAGATGACTTCAGGGGTGAGAAATCAAGACCTACCCAGTGCAAGGAATAACTTGAGCTCTCAGCAATGCAGGGGACAAAAAAAAAGCCAGCCACCAAGCTCAAAGGATCCTCACATACTGCAGCAATGACTCTGTGCACAGATCAAGGAAGGAGAAGCCACGGGAGCTGGTAAAGTATGTCCTTGGGGGTCGGGACTAAGGTAAGAAAGCCGTGGGGGGTGGGGAGGGGCAGTGAAGTACTCCTTCATCAGGGTAGCGTAGAGGTTAAAAAGAGGCAAGACATCCCCACTGCGGGGGATTGAACCTCACATGAACCTCCAGTAGTACAAAAGGCAAGAAATTTCCAGTGGGGAAATTGAGCCTCATCCCAAAAGGCAAGAAATTGCCAGTGGGGGAAATTGAGCCTCACCCCACAAGCTGAAAAATTTCCAGCAAGGGAAATTGAAACTCGAACCTTACCTCAAAACCATCAAGATGAGAAATACCCCAAGCAAGACAGGGAGCAAAGGGGATAAAGGTGGTAACAAAGATAGCCCCCCAGATAGCCCCCTAGGTCTCATGCTAAAACACTGGAAGGATAATGAAAGGACTGAATATAGAAAAAAGCAACAAATGATAAAATATTGCTGTCTTATTTGGACTCAGGGACCCATCTTCAAACCCTCAATCTTCTGGCCAAAGTTTGGGTCGAATGAGGATGTAACATGTCAGCTTCTAATCCGATATGTTAATGATAAAGGTCCAGTGTCTCAAGAAGAACTAGGCCATGCCCTTTGTTGGAGGCAAGGACCAGCCCTCCTTTTTCCCTTAAATTGGGAAGAACCCAATCTAGCACCTCAAAATGAAAAGTCAGAGGAACCAGCTGTCATGTCTAAAGACTCCAGTGCATGGGATCCCCTAGACTCAGTGTGCCCCAGTCAGTGTCCCCAATCTTTCCCCTCAGACAGCGCTGCCACCTCAGACCCCATTCCAATTCCCCCTCTACTCACATTATCCTTCCTCCTTATAACCCTGACTCTTGGGAATTACCATCCCACCAGCCTGTTCCCTCGCAACCTAAAGACCCCTCTCTAAAAGGACCCCAGCCTCCATCTGGAGGACCAAGGTCCTCATCCAGACCCCCTAAAGAGTATGGAGGAGCAGGGTTAAGGAATCCCAGAACTAAGAGGGAGGAAGGACAAGATAGGTGCTATAGATGTGGAAGAACAGGCCACTTCAAATGAGGATGTCCTAAACTAAGAAAGGAAAAAGAAGCCCTTCCACTCATGACTTTCAAGGAAGAATAAGGGATTCAGAGGCTCTCTCTTTTATCTTGAGTCCCACCAGGAGCTCTTGATAAATTTTGAGGTTGGATCTAAATATGAGCTTAGCACCTTTTTTTTTTTTTTTTTTAGAATTAATGTTTTATTGTCACGCAGATGGCAACTGGGTTTATGTCTTCATATTTTATATTTTTGTAAATTAAAAAAATTACAAGTTTTAAATAGCCAATGGCTGGTTATGTTTTCAGAAAACATGATTAGACTAATTCATTAATGGTGGCTTCAAGCTTTTCCTTATTGGCTCCAGAAAATTCACCCACCTTTTGTCCCTTCTTAAAAAACTGGAATGTTGGCATGCATTTGACTTTTCAGAGAGGGAATGAAAGAAAGGCTTGATCATTTTGCAAGGCCCACACCACGTGGCTGAGAAGTCAACTACTACAAGTTTATCACCTGTGGTGTTCAAGGCTTCCTGAAAAGCAGCCTTGCTCTCGATCTGCTTCATCATCTTTGCTGCTGGGGTCTGAGGAGCGGCTGTAAGGACTGATGGAAACGGATCCAAAGCCAGCTTATCACCTTTTTAGTCAACTCAGGGACTGCCTGCTCCTCTGTTTGTTTCCCTCCCATCTAATGTTGTCTCCTCCTCAGAGGAACTTTTAGTCTCTGGGGTAAAAGGGGAAGGATTTAGAGCAAAAATTTTAGAAAGCACAGAAGTTAGATACCCGGATCGTTAGCTTATATTCAGTGCTTGTTAATCCCTGAAGCAGGAACTAATTTACTGGGGAGGAATTTAATGTTAAAGTTAGGCATAGGTCTACAAGTCAGCCCAAGAGGATTCCTCACCTCATTAAACCTACTCACCACTACAGATGAAAGATATATTAATCCTAATATCTGGTCCGAAGAAGAAAACCGAGGGAAACTCCAAGTCCCTCTGATCCACATCAAGCTAAAAATCCTGGGAGAAGTAGTAAGAAGGAAGCAATACCCTATTCCCCTAGAAGGTAGGATAGGGTTAAAACCTATAATCAAAGGGCTTATTAAGGATGGGCTTCTCGAGCCCTGTATGTCCCCTTATAACACCCCAATACTGCCAGTCCATATAATCATCAATGGTTTACTGTAATAGATTTGAAGGATGCTTTTTGGGCATGTTCCCTCACTGAAGATAGCCAAGATATATTTGCTTTTGAGTGGGAGGATCCCCACTCAGGGCGGAAACAACAATATCGATGGACAGTCTTACCCCAAGGGTTCACAGACTCCCCTAATCTTTTCGGCCACATTTTAGAACAAGTACTAGAAAAAGTTGTCATCCTAGAACAAATATGCCTTCCAGAACAAATATACCTTCTTCAGTACATGGACGACATTCTCATATCTGGTGAAGATATAGAGAAGGTAACTGACTTCTCTATGCATATTCTTAACCATCTGCAGTTTGAGAGGCTACGAGTCTCAAAAAGAAAGCTTCAGTATGTAGAGCCCGAAGTTAAATATTTAGGCCACTTAATAAGTGCAGGCAAGTGAAGAATATGGCCTGAATGAATCGAGGGAATCGTGTCCTTACCCTTGACTAAACAAGAACTTGGGAACTTTTTAGAGTTAGTCGGATACTGTCGCTTATGGATTGACTCATAGGCACTGCACAGTAAACTGTTATATCAAAAACTTGCCCAGGAGAAGCCTAACCATCTCCCGTGGACTTTTGAGGAAGCTGATCAAGTCAAGAAGCTGAAAGAAAGGCTCATAACTGCCCCTGTTTTAGCCTTACCCTCCCTAGAAAAGCCATTCTACATTTCTGTTAATGTGGACAGTGGGGTAGCTTTAGGAGGGCTGACTCAAGAACACGGAGGCTGCCAGCAGCCCGTAGCCTTCCTATCAAAGGTCTCAGGCCCAGTCACTTATGGATGGCCTCAATGCATCGCGGCTACGGCAATACTAGTCAAGGAAAGCAGAAAGTTAACCTTTGGAGGAAAATTGACAGTAAGCAAGTCGCACCAAGTTAGAACTATCTTAAACCAAAGAGCAGGGAGACGGCTTACTGACGCCAGAATCTTTAAGTATGAGGCCATTCTGTTAGAAAAGGATGATTTAACATTGACCACTGATAATTCACTCAACCTAGCAAGTTTCCTGACAAGAAATCCAAATCTAAGGAAGGAACATACATGTTTAGATTTCATTGATTACCATAAAAAGGTTGGACCAGACCCAGGAGACACCCCCTTCCAGACTGGATGGCACTTATTCATAGATGGTTCCTCCGGGTGATTGAGGGAAAAAGACACAATGGGTATTCAGTGATTGATGGAGAAACTCCCGTAGAAATAGAGCCAGGAAAATTGCCCAACACTTGGTCTGCTCAAACGTGTGAGCTGTTTGCACTCAGCCAAGCCTTAAAGTACTTACAGAACCATGAAGGAACCATCTATACCAATTCTGAGTTAATTTGGACTAAACAAGGTCTTATTAATAGCAAAGGATAATTGAAATCCCAAACTTACAAGGTTTTCAACAAAAGTAAAGTTTGCTAAAAGTTAACAGTGTAACATGTATTATCCTAACTTCTAATCTTATGGCCTTAGGCAGTCTAGTCCACAGACATGAAGGAAGTTTGCTTTGGAAAAGAATGGTTATCATCTTTGGGGAAAAAAAAGGAGGGAGGGTGGGAGGAGAATTTATGTAAAAAGAATGTTATATGGTACATTCTTGTCCTAAAATAAATTAACTGGTTGTTTAAAGAAAGGGACATTTGCAACAAGTCAGAAAGTTGAGGCATGTCAACGAATTGTCTGTGAAAGTCGTGAAAAAAAAAGTGGGTTATAAAAGGGAATTTATGCAAGAAATGTTGTATAATGTAACAGTAATTAGGACTCCTGAATATAAAACTATTGAAGAAACAGTTTATATGCAAGGTGTATAAGGAAAGTAAAATATACTTTTAGTAAAAGGATTATAAGGAGGCATAAGAATGTGGATTTTTACCTACATTAAAAGGTTAAAAAAAAACTTTGTTTTGAAGGTTTAAGCAAGTTTTAAAATGTTAATTATAAAGGAAATTCTGTGTATAAACATATTGGCTAAAGTTAAAAGGGTATCATCCAGTTTTTCTGTGAACTGGACATTAAAATAAAAGCACAATGGATTTTTCTTCAAGCACTAACTTGCTCTTTAACAAAAATTATAAAAGGTTAAAAAAAGTCTATAAAAATCTTACCTTATGGTTAGATGTTAAAATTAGATAAATATGTCTACATGATTTTATTAAAATTGATTGTAACATTAATAACACACTAATACAAAGGCGAAATTTAGCTTATCAGGTATAAAAATCATACAGGAAGCGTTGTCAAATATAAAATGGTGTTTGACTTTCTTTGGTCTAAAAACTAATACAAATAGGTGCTAAAGGAAATTTCTCAGTAAGAAGGCACCAAGGACTATAAAGTCCACTGCTGATATCCCTACATTTAAAACAAAAGATGAATTTCTTAGAAATCATTTACTTGGTTTATCTTCCACTTTCCTTTCCCTCAAAACTAAAGTCTTTTAGCACAGGTACCACTCCTAGAATCTCCGGTAAACCAGCACCAGCCTGAGGATCACGTTCTCATCAAAGGGTGGAAAGAAGGAAAACTCGAGCCACCTGGGAAGGACCCTACCTTGTGCTGCTAACCACTGAGACTGCTGTTCATACAGCAGAAAGAGGATGGACACATCACACCTGAGTCAAGAAAGCACTGGCGGGGAACATGCCTGTAATCCCAGCACTTTGGGAGGCCAAGGTGGGCAGATCATGAGGTCAGGAGATCAAGGCCATCCTGGCTAACACGGTGAAACCCCATCTCTACTAAAAATACAAAAAAAAAAAAAAAAGCCGGGCGTGGTGGTGGGTGCCTGTAGTCCCGGCTACTTGGGAGGCTGAGGCAGGAGAATGGTGTGAACCCTGGAGACGGAGCTTGCAGTGAGCCAAGATCCCGCCACTGCACTCTAGCCTGGGCAACAGAGCGAGACTCTGCCTCAAAAAAAAAAAAAAAAAAGAAAAGAAAAAGAAAAAACAAAGTGCCAAACCCCCGCCAGAGTAGTGGGCCATGGTCCCAGGGGAAAACCCTACCAAACTTAAGCTAAGAACAATTTGACTCCCTTTCATCTATTCAAATACTCTTGCTGCTTTCCTCGCTCTATTGCTGACCATCTAGTTATAACATAAGCAAGTCAATTTTGCCTCAAACTATTGCATTTGATACTTGCTTTGTTATACCTTGTGGGGACTTGCCAAGTCAAAGACAGCTCTCTACTTCAGAAAAGTACCTCTGTCGCTCCTGACTCTCCCCAGACTGGGCCTTAGTAAATTGGGACCATTGGGAGATTTCAATAAAGACCCCAGTGCCAACCAGGAGTCTTGCCCCCCGATGTACAGCTTTCATGCCATAGTTGGTCCAATGTTCTGTGGACCACTAAAGAGCAAGGATGGACTGCCCCAACTGGTTTTTGTAATTTCCTAAAACCATGCATTCATTTTACTAGAGGATCATAAAAGTTAAACACTTAAAACAAACTTTGGCAATTAAGACAGGATACCAAGATGCAAATGCCTGGTTGGACTGGATCAAATATTCCGTCCACACATTAAACAAAAGCAATTGTTATGCTTGTGCACACGGCAGGCCAGAGGCCCAGACTGTCCCCTTTCCACTAGGGTGATCCTCCAGTCGACCATGCATAGGCTGCATGGTAGCTCCTTTCCAGGATTCTACAGCCTGGAGTAATAAGTTGTGCCAAGCTCTCTCTCTGCTATACCCCAAAGTCTGGCACCCTGCGGGTCAGCCCCCAAGGGCCATCCAGCTTCCATCTCCCAACACTAAGTTCACTTCATGTCTCTCACGACAGGGAGGAAACTTAGCATTCCTTGGAGACCTGAAGGGATGCAGTGAGCTTAAGAATTTTCAAGAGCTTATCAATCAGTCAGCCCTTATTCATCCCCGAGCAGATGTGTGGTGGTATTGTGCTGGACCTTTACTGGACACTCTGCCAATAACTGAAGTGGCACTTGTGCTTTAGTTCAATTGGCTATCCCTTTTGCCAAGGTATTTCATCAACCAGAGGAAGGAAAAATAAGACATCGTAAAGCGAGGGAAGCCCCTTATGGGTCTTTCAACTCTCATGTTTATTTAGACACAATTAGAGTCCCATGGGGGAATACCAGATCAATTTAAAGCCTGAAATCAAATAGCTGCAGGATTTGAGTCAATATTTTTGTAGGTGACAATAAAAATGTAGATTGGATAAACTACAACTACTACAACCAACAGCGATTTATTAACTACACTAGAGATGTTGTTAAAGGAATAGCTGAACAATTAGAGGATACTAGCCAGATGGCTTGGGAAAATAGGCTAGCCTTAGACATGATATTAACAGAAAGAGGAGGAGTTTGCATCATGATTAAAACTCAATGTTGCACCTTCATCCCAAACAACACTGCCCCAATGGAAGTATAACAAAGGCATTGTAAGGTCTGATTGCTCTATCCAATGAGTTAGCCAGCAACTCAGG